AATTTGGTGAATTTATTCAACAAACAAACAAAGGTAAAAAGACAAAATCTTTCCGTCTCTCTGTTGCTCCCTCTCAGAGCCTGTGGCGAAGTGTCGGCCAACACCGTCTCCCGCCAACCGTCAACTGGACGATCAGGAGGTGAGGTCGCTCCACCAGCGCAGCACGGCGCCACCCAGAGGCCTGGTGCAGACAGACAGCCCCAACTTCCTGTGCAGCAGCCTGCCGCAGCACTGGAGGTGTAACAAGACCCTGCCGAGAGCCTTCACGGTCAGTAGTGATCTGTCTGTCTGTCTGTCTGTCTGGTAATAAAGTTAAAGGTCATCACATGTCATGGGGACACTCGCTCAGCTGACCATATTCTCGTCACATGGACTTTCCACGTCCACATGTGACGTCCAAGTTGATGTTCTGGGACGCCGTGTCAACTTCAGCCTGTTACATGCATTGTCTGTTTTCAAAATACACTTCTGTTTTCACAGGAAATGTACAGTTTGCATACAGTCTCTTTCAAAATAAAACACTACATTGGTACAACACTGCCAACTGATGTTTTTTTCCACGTGGTTGCGTTTAAGACAAAAGAACAGTGTTTGGCTTTATACTCTTGTGGACCCATCCACCACCTCTCCTGCCCGCCCTACTTGGACTTTCGCCACCTCAACTTTTGTTGTCGCCCTGCCAAATTCCCCCTGACACCGCCGGGCACCGTTAAACAACATCGTGTATCATGCTGATGTGAAACGACAGCTCTTTTTATCAGTGTCTGACGCCAGAAGTCTCTGACCAAGCGCCAGTTCTCGACGCCCTCAGACTGACACCAGGTCGCTGAGACTCTGTACGATTCCCTTCTGCTCTCTCAATCCTCCAGGTGGTTGCCGTGGGCAACGACGTGCCAGACGGTGTGGTGGTCACGGTGATGGCCGGCAATGACGACAACTGCAGCGCCGAGCTTCGCAACGCCACAACGACCATGAAGCAAGGCTACGCCCACTTCAACGACCTCCGCTTCATAGGTCGCAGCGGCAGAGGTAGACGGACACAAGTCAAGTCTCTATTTGATCGTGTGATGATAAGATTATACGGCAGCTAGGTGCATAACTAGTACCTAGTGTGCATTAGGGCCCATCTTAATAGCGTGCACTGGGGCCCGTTGTAACGACCTTACGCCACCGGCTCTATTCTTTGACCGTTGATTCAGCTCCTCCCTAAAAACCATATCTGGTGAGGGGCTGAGGACAGACGATGTGTTTGAGAGATGGAAAAACTGATTTAAGACAAGCCCTAATAGTTTTCCTGTACACGTGTTTTTTTTTCCTAGGTAAGAGTTTCACACTCTCCATCAACGTGCTGACCTCGCCGCCTCAGATCGCCACCTTACACAGAGCCATCAAGGTCACCGTGGACGGACAGCGGCTGCCAAGACGTCAGTGCACACAGGAGAAAATAATATGAAGGGTTCATACAAAGATTTCAGTGAGAGTTACTCTGCTCTGTGTCTCTCTGGACAGGACAGAGACAGAAGGAGGTGAAGTCAGGAGTGTTCAGGTCGTCCTGCAGCAGCTCTGCATCCTCAGGTCGTTTATTTAAATCCTCAGTTATTAATTAAAATGATAACTTGTCGTAAAGACGGGGCCATGACTGATATTACCACTGAACAAACTCCATCAGCTGAAGAAGACCATGTGATGCAGTCAAAAGTTCTGGACCTTGAATTAATTCTTTTATGTCCTGTATCATCTCCCGTCTCTCTGCAGACTGTCGATCCTTCACCACCTCTCTGTGGACCAATGAGCCGCCGTTCCTGGGTCAGGTGACCTCTCTGACCTCCTCCTTCACCCCAGGTCCCAGAATGCACCACCTGCCTCCTCTCTCCTACTCCACCCAGCCGACACCGTACAGCTCCTACCTGTCCTCTCCTCCTCCTCCCCCTCCACTGAGCCACAATGGTCCCTTCCAAGCAGGCAGCTTCTACTACGGACCAAACCAACCGCTCCAAAACATGGGGGAGGACCGCAATGTCGTCACAGCGCTGACCAATTATATTGAAGGGGCGTGTCTTTCTATAAGAGGGGAGGAGCCTTACTGGAGGCCTTATTGATGACTGGATGTTTTATACATCATCTGAAAATAAAATATTTTACGTGTTTTGGGAATTTTTTTACTTTGTTTTCGGCTCTGAAACCCACCTGTGAAAATACACCTTTACACTTTAACTTTGTTTGCAGTGATTATGATGCTCTTATTTATTACTTTGTCATGAAAACGTGTATTTATTAGAGTTTTATTTGTTGTATTTATCTAGGCTACTATACCAACCCTATCTTTTGTCATTTGATTTGATATATTTATTTTATTTTATTCTATTTTATTTTAATTTATTTATATATTAATTTTAAATACTACAGCCCTACCACTGCATTTGTGCTAATTCTTGCCAGCCATATCTTTTGATATTCATTATTTCCGCATTCCCAGGAATAAAAGTCGAGTAAAGAAATACTAAATCCATTTATTATAATGTTTTGTTGCATGAACACACTGAAAATATTTTATTTTAAATATAATTTCTTAATAATGTTAATATTGAAAAAATTAAAAAAAAAATCCAAAACTTTCCTTTTTTATGCCTTTATTCTTAATACACAGTCCCCTTATTTTTATTTTTTAATTAATTATTCATGTCTTATAATAATTATCTTATTTTGTTTTATTGTTATAATTATAATTATTATTACTATTACATAAATGTATAAATATTCTGCACACATTTATTTAATTTGTTTTGCCTACAATGGATCAATTTAAAAGTATGTACTCTAATGTAGTAGTTAAGTTTAATAATGAGATGTATTGAAGGAGAAAATGTTTTAATAATTAATAAAATAAAAGGTTTTAAAACCTTTAAAGTTCACTGAGTTTAACCTGTCTGCTGCTGGTTTCTGCTGTAATGTCGCCCTCTGGTGGACTTTAGTAGGAACTACAAGCAGAGCTGCGACACTAATACGCACATTAAAACATGTTTACAGATTTATTTCCTTCTAATTTAATTAGTTCAATTTAAATGTATTTATCTGGGCTGCTAGACCAACCCAACCCGTTATATATTTATGTTCAAATACTAAATCCTTTTTATTTTATTTTATTATCTTAATGTTTCATTTTAAATTCCAAATATCTATTGTATTTCTTGCCAGCTATATCTTTTAATATTCATAACTATGTTTTCATCAGTGTAAAGTCACCAGAGACTAAAAATTGTGTTTTCGTTACCTTTGAAGGAGTCATTTATAAAGAGTGGGTCCTCGCTTGCAGAGTCCGCCATGTTGTTCTACAGATGCCCAGTATGGACAAACCAAACACTGGCTCTGGATAGGGCCATTCATGTTTCTGTGTAGGCCAACATAGTTCATACACAGGAGAAATTTGCGATTGATTAGTGACTGTGAGGCTGGAGTTAATATAAAGACCTAGTGAAATCAGGAACAGGTGAACTGAGTTGCCTTGATGAAGTGGGCGGGACCAAAAGCTGAGGTGCATGAAACCAGAGTAAATGGAAAACTACTAACTGAGAGCTTGGTAAAAACAAAAGAGCAGGTGATCAGGAACTGTGACAAACGTGTTTATTAGAGCAACAGTTGTATAAAAAAAAACTGTGTTAATTTCACACCCCAAACACACAAAATATTTCCTCATCAATGAAACAAAAATCCTGAATCAACCTCCTTTTACCAGACTCAATCAGTATTTAGAATTTTCTTTGCCGAATTAAAGTGACTTAAATTTAAATTATTATTTCTTAAATAATGAATGCATTGTCTGTTTTCAATATCCACTTCTGTTTTCACAGGAAATGTACAGTTTGTATACAGTCTCTTTCAAAATAAAAGCACTACGTTGGTACAACACCGCAATTGAAGTTTTTTCCACGTGGTTGCGTTTAAGACAAAAGAACAGGGTTTGGCTTTATACTCTTGTGGGCCCATCCACCACCTCCAAAGCACAAAGCACTACACACATCGCATGTGGTTGGCTTTAGCTTTACAGTCTTACAGGAAACAAACACCAGCCTCCCGGGTGAAAGTCGGTGGTTGTTGGACCCACCCACTACCTCCTGACACCACCGGACACGGTTAAACAAAAACTGTAACTGGTCATGTATCATACCAGCGTGAAAGAACGTCATGATCACAGGACTGACACATAGAGATGGACAACCATTCACACCTACGGACAATTTAGAGTCACCAATTAACCTGCATGTCTTTGGACTGTGGGAGGAAACTGGAGCACCTGGAGGAAACCCACGCTGACACGGGGAGAACATGTCGGAGCACCTGGAGGAAACCCACGCTGACACGGGGAGAACATGTCGGAGCACCTGGAGGAAACCCACGCTGACACAGGGAGAACATGTCAGAGCACCTGGAGGAAACCCACGCTGACACGGGGAGAACATGTCAGAGCACCTGGAGGAAACCCACGCTGACACGGGGAGAACATGTCAGAGCACCTGGAGGAAACCCACGCTGACACAGGGAGAACATGTCAGAGCACCTGGAGGAAACCCACGCTGACACAGGGAGAACATGTCAGAGCACCTGGAGGAAACCCACGCTGACACAGGGAGAACATGTCAGAGCACCTGGAGGAAACCCACGCTGACACAGGGAGAACATGTCAGAGCACCTGGAGGAAACCCACGCTGACACAGGGAGAACATGTCAGAGCACCTGGAGGAAACCCACGCTGACACAGGGAGAACATGTCAGAGCACCTGGAGGAAACCCACGCTGACACAGGGAGAACATGTCAGAGCACCTGGAGGAAACCCACGCTGACACAGGGAGAACATGTCAGAGCACCTGGAGGAAACCCACGCTGACACAGGGAGAACATGTCAGAGCTCCTGGAGGAAACCCACGCTGACACAGGGAGAACATGTCGGAGCTCCTGGAGAAAACCCACGCTGACACAGGGAGAACATGTCAGAGCACCTGGAGGAAACCCACGCTGACACAGGGAGAAAATGTCAGAGCTCCTGGAGGAAACCCACGCTGACACAGAGAGAACATGCCAACTCCACACAGGAGGGTTCCCCCACCCTGGGTTTGAAACAGGACCCATCTTGCTGTGAGGCGACAGTGCTAACCATGACACCAGGGGGTAAGAGGGGCGCTGAACGGGTCCAACAAACTGCAGACTTTCACCAGGTGTTTGCTTCCTGTATGGATGAGCCAAATCATTAAGTTTTTTTCTAAACCTAACCATGTGATTTAGTTGACGTTCTGCCGTCGGTTTCAGCGTCCCAGATCACCAACAACAGACGCAGGAGGATACCTAGTATTTCATATGTAGACGTGAAAAGGCCACTGACAAAGTGATGATAAGTGACGACTTTATAGAACATGTTGATCCAACACACTGTACCTTTAATTAATGTGGCGTTCTGCTGTTTGCAAAAGGAAATAAATGGTGTTTAACTTCTTTAAGGCGACCTGTACATGAGGTGCTGAGAATAGTTTCATCTGTGAGTAATCAGTGATTTTATTAAGAGAACAAGTAATAGATTACATTTCAGTGTTGACTGTCCTCCTGTAGAGCGTTGAGTTCGGCCACTCTCCTGCTCCACTCCTCTTCTGTCATTTCTTCTTCTTCTGCTCCGTCCTCAACATCCTCCTCCACCTGGTGCTCTCCTGAAATACACATAAAAAAAATTTAAAAAGGAAAATAAAGTCTGCTGATGAAAAAGGAAAATCTCTGATAGGGGGAAACCTAAGATCTGGAAAATCTAGGTGTGTGTGTGTGTGTGTGTGTGTGTTTGTCCTCACCATTGCAGGTCAGAGCGGTGCACACCCAGTTTCCACAGGCACACACACACTTGTTACACTCCATCCGAGTTTCAGCTCCGTCCTCGAACACCTCGTCCTCCAGAGCGCACTCTGCATACACACACACACCAGAGGGAAACATTCATTAAACAAATACTAATCTGCACACACACACACACACACACACACACACATTCAGAGGTTATATGAATCTCTGACATTTTACAAAATAACATCTGGTCCTGGAAACAAGAAAGAAATATCACTCTGTGTGTGTGTGTGTGTCATTACTTCTCTCATATGGATGGTAGGTGGGTGTCAGACAGTTGATGAACTCTGTTAAACTCAGCTTCCAGTCTGCGTTTTCATCCGACAGCTCGATCAAAGCATCGACACACAGAGACCTGAGACACAGACAGACAGACAGACAGACAGACAGAGTGGGTGAAGACAAGTCAGATTTGCTTCACTGCATTAACCAGGGATCAGTGAGTGATCAAGATTAAATCTCTCTGTGAAATAAATCAAGTCACGATCATGAAGTAAATTTCTCTGCATTTATCTGATTCCCAATCAAGGTACGAGCTGCCTCACCTTGTTAATGTGGACTTTAAAACTATTTTGAAATGTAAAATAATTGAACTGTTATGGTGTGCAGTGAACAACCTGTCACTGAACATCACACAGACAAAGAAAGGAGCTCCTCACTGACAGACTCAGGAGGACGCTACAGGACCCTGACATGCTGCACCTCCAGACTGAGGAACAGTTTTTACCCCACAGCCAAACACAAACTGAGCTCTCTTCCACCCCTTTACCTACGTTGTTGTCTCGCCGTGTTTCCCCCCCACGGTTAAACACTTGCAGCAACCAGCTGTGTATCAGGCCGATGTGAAAGGACGGCTTTTTTCATCAGTGTCTGACGCTGGAAGTAACTGACCAAGCAGCAGATTTTGATGACTTCGGAGTGAGACCGGGTACGTTGAATGTACAGTATGAATGAATATCGTTTACAATTGTACAAAACTACCATGCAGAGTCCCAGATTTTGTGTGTGTGTGTGTGTGTGTGTGTGTGTGTGTGTGTACCTCAGCAGCATGTTGGTCTCCAGAGTATTAGAGTAGGTGATGTTGAGCGCCGTCTCGTTGTGCTTCAAGAAGCTCAGGAACTCTTTGGAGTCGAGCTCTGAATCCCCGTCATCGTACGTCTGTCACACACAGACACACAGTTAGACTTTAAATATCTTATTCTGCTGTTTTATAAACGTATTAACTGGGATCACCTCTAAAACACAGCGCTAATCAAATTTAATTTCTGTGAAACGTTGTGACCTTGAAGTACGTCTGCAGCAGCTGACTGGCTGAGGTCTCGTTGGACGTCAGACCGTTGGATTCGACTTCCTCCTGAATCCACTGGATCACTCTGTCTCTCAGCCAATCACGATCAGACAGGAAACACACGACTGCACAGGCAAATAAAATAAAATGGACATTACGTTAAAACAAATGACACTATATGAGTGAAGAAAGTGATGATTTAAATGTAATGATCTGCAGACTTACTGGGGCTCACGTCTGCCTGTGTTGGTTTCTCTGTAGATACAAACACACACCACTGTCACAACTCACATGCACAACTTCAACTGTCTGCAGGTGTGTGTGTGTGTGTGTGTGTGCGCTGACCCAGACAGTGTCCTCTGTGCTCCACATGTATCTTGGTGTGAGTGATGCAGGCGTCTCTGTGCAGCTCACAGTGATTTCTGTAGGACCTGCCGTTGCTGCCACACACCCAGTGCTCCGTCACATCACACTGCTGCAGAGACACAAACAAAGAGTCGGGGTCAACAGCAGCTTCATAAGGATGTCCTGCAGGGGGCGCCTCTGTGACTCACACAGGAATGAGTTCACATTTTACCACCCTCGGTTCCCTCGTCTCAGCGTCAGTGTGTTTCTGGTTAGATGTGTGAAATAAGGTCTGTGGTTACACAGGCTGAAGAGACTTTAACATGTTGTTCTGTGACATAAAACACAACAGTAAATACCCCACTGTGAATTTAGAAGCTTCTATGTGTCTTAAAAAAGGCGGTTGCTAACGAGCGGCTAAATGACACTACAGGACGTCATCACGCCGAACACAGCTTTACATTCTTGTCATGATGGTGACGTTGGGTCAGACGTCTGTAGTGTAGTTTGCTTATAGCGTAACGTTAGCTTTTTACGTCTGAAGATTGCATTTAAGCTTCAATCATCATGTTAATTTGTGAAGATTATCTCACTGAACAAAACCTGTAGGTATCATTGTTTCCTACAGAGCTTATTTTCGGCAATAAACTCAAATCCGATGTAAAAATTCTCTCTTCTTTTTGACGAGGGAACCAGTGCGATGTTAACTTCCACGTCATCCCTGGAACACTCTCCTTGAAGTGATGGTTCAATGTGAATGAATGAAGTGTGCTTGTATGAGGCTCTTATCCATAGACACTATATCACATACAGTAGATGTCAATCAGGACGTCCCCTGTTTAGAGAAGCAGGTTGGACGTTGACATGGAAGCTGAGCAATATACTGCTGTGAAGGGGTCAGCAACAAAACAGATTTTAGCCACCTAAAAAAGTAAAAAAATCATAATCAGTTTAGGTGTATGCTTTATTAAGAAAACTAAGCCGTTATATCACTGTCTTCAAAGCCAGACTCTACGGAGAAAAACAGTGATTTAAAGGGTAAAGCTGGTATTTTTCAGTCTGGACCCTGTTTTCCCACAAGTTTGTGTCTAAAGGTGCAGACACACCAAACAGACATCAAAGAACTAGCGGCGACGAAAGCCAACTGTTGCGTCGTCTACGTCGCCTCACGTCACCCTGTGTCAGTTGCATTTGAACACACTACACGGACTACATCCGACGGCCAAGTAGCACGTACGTTCTGCGCCTGCATGAGAGAGAGCGGAGTGAGACAGTGATACATCCTGTCAGCCGAGGGGTTTCCTATCTGTGCAGCCGAGCACCGCAGCACCTCCACGGACTATTACATCCAGACGGTCCCGGTGTTTCCTCCGCAGGCTCCACTTCACTCAGCTGCCCGATAAACCCACTGCTTCTTCCCACTTTAACCTGAATAACAAACCAGGGCTCGGTGCTCCGGTTGGATCCAAACGGAGAGCCGGGGCTAGCTCAGAGACTAGCGGAGGCTAACTGGCTGTGCTTCCCTCCGGTCATGCTGTGGCTAACGCTCCGCTAGCCGCTCCCAGCTAGCCCCGGTTTGTTATTCAGGTTAAAGTGGGAAGAAGCAGCGGGTCTGTGGGGCAGCTGAGTGAAGTGGAGCCTGAGGAGGAAGCACCGGTTAGCCCCGGTTTCACTACAGGCAGATTCACTCGCTACAGGGGCGAGGAAATAAAAGTGTAATCACTTGGGGCAGTTGCACATCTTCAATGTACGTCCACTAATTAGTGTTTGCTTTGTCACTGACAGGCTCAGATTGTTATCTTAAGTGTCTAACAACATTTTGGAAAGGATCCTTCCAGAGATAAACCTTTGTGTTAAAGAGTAAGATCGTTTTGTGTCACCCCAAACAGCCCTGAAACCACCATCACCAAACCCACCAGACCCCATTTAAATAAACAGTAATTTTAGTGTGTATAGAGGCAGCATGTCTTCACATCTAACTGGGTGAATGAAGGGTTAATTCCAACTGAACCAGTGTTGGTGATTGTTGGAACAGTGGAGAGAGAAACCAAGGTGATTTTTGTGAGTGTTATTTTTTTTGTCGACTTTGAATGAAGTGTGTTTTACAATGATAAAATTACTGCTTTTTTAAATGAAGTCTGGTGGTGATGGCGATTTCAAGGTTGTTTCTGCAGAACACAACTTTGCATTTACAGCGTACATGTGAGCAAATACGTACATGTTATGTTTTGTTTCAGACTCACCACTGTTCGTTACTATTTATGCATCACAAAGTTAATCAATGTTTTCTTGACTGTTTTGTTGTTGTTTGTCTTTGCAACAGAGGCTCATGCACTTTGATGCAATTTCAGTTGCACCCAACCCATTTTTAACCAGGTAAGTCCCGTTGAGATCAACAATCTCTTTTTCAAGGGACACGTGGCCAAGAGAGCTGCGTACAAAAAAATAAATAAAATCTAAGAATTCTAAGAAATAATCAGAGCAGTATCTGAAGTATTCAGTGATCTGAAAGCAGTGATTCAGGATTATTATCATTCACCCACAGAGTGAAGAGAAAAAGTGATTCAGCAGTTTTTACCTCCAGACAGCGACAGACTGGCTCTCCTCTGTCGGTCGACACACACTCTCGTCCTGCACCGCAGAAAGTCCTGGCACACACCGACTGATCCTGACACACACACACACACACATACACACATACACACACAGAGCTGTATCACATTTTCATCTGTTTTATATAGCAAACAATAAAAAGAGTTGAGAAGTGTGTTTCAGACTCCAGATGGTGACCTTTGACCTCCCACTGCACAAGACCCGCGCTGTTTTGAATGATAATGACCCTCCCTCTCAACACACACACACACACAATCACTGAGGCAGCTGGACAGCGCTACAGCTCATTTTGATTTTCATGGTGTCATCAGCAGAGTCTGAGGGCGACATGAGTAGTTTTAATAATTATTTTCAAGTGAAGTTAAGTTTTCACACACATTAAATCTAAGTCATCCATTAGGCTGAAAAACGACACACAGCCATAACTATTTTATTATTATTGTGGTCTCCTCTTTGACATAATTTGTCCTTCTCCAATAAACAACAGCAGTTCATTGGTGCCCAGTTTTATTCTTTGTAAGTTTTAACACAATTTAAAGAGGCGTTTGCGTAATGATTCAGTGATTTAACGCACATGTGACGCGAGCTCGTGTCATCTGGGACAGTGTGTCTCACACCCACTCCACGATGTGTTGGTCAAACACAGGAGCACATTCAGTACAAGACTCATTCCCCCATGATGCATCACAGAGCGCCACAGGAAGTTGTTGCTGCCTGCGGCCATCAACCTGCACAACTCCTCCTTCAGACTCTGATGCTGTGTTTACACCGTTCAGGCCTTTGCACACTGAGTCTGGTTATTCAGATGCGTTTTTTAACCCTGAATCTGAAAAAGATTGTTGTGCACAGAAACCTGTCGCACTGATTCAGATGTGTTTTATTGTTCTATGACAAAATGAAAATACACACTTCTTCCTCTGCCTCTCTCCTCTGCAGTTACTGATCTGTTGTCTCCACTTCCTCCCTGTCTTTCATTTGGCAGCTGCGTGAATCGGACCTGTTGAAAGCAGCTGTCGAGTTACAAAGTGATTCTGTGCCCCTCGCTCCTCTGTCTCGTCCCGCCTGTGTCCCCCGCCGCCACATTTCTTCACTGATTCTTGGTCAAACGTCTAAAGGCTCTGACGGACGTGAAACATTAAAAAGACGAAAGTTTCAGACTCACTGTGCAAACGTGACTGACACAATGTGAAGCCAGATTTTTTTTTTTTTTAAAGACGTGCGACAATTTCGGACGAAAACACACACTCAGCGTTCAGAGGCATTTACTCACACAACTGGAATGATAGAATATTTTGTGTCGACAAGTAACTCTTGTCATACGATGAGTGAACCCCCGCCAGTATGTCCTCGGCATCATACGTCCCCAAAGGATCTCAATGCTGATTAGCTATCGTTTGGATTTTTCAGCTCATGTAGATAAGCGTTTGACGCGATATCGCACCACTCACTTCATCCATGTCGTGTCCATCAAACCGCTCGGCAGGACTTTGTGTCTAATCGCATCTTTACACTGACTTCACATGTAATTCACTCTTATTATTTATCTTTATTCTATTGATGAATCAATGTTGTCGTCAACAGTGTAGCATGACACATATTTTCATATTTCTTAAACGTAACATATAAGTCTATACACTGTAATGTAGCACAAAGCACATGTTTTTACAGACTGAGCACATTATACCTGCAGTTATTCCTATTTTTTACATACTAGTATTCAATGTTGGAGCTTAATACACATTTCTATTTCTGTTTTTTTTTTTGACTTTATATACACACATGCTTCTTGTTTTCATACGCTTGTTTTCACTGTCGTATATTTCTCTATTCCTGACATCAGAGCGACTGTAACAAATCACAGTTTCAATAAAGTATTTCTGATCCTGGTGTAGGGTTTACTGCACAGCTGGAGGATCAGTGTGCAGAAGTGTTCGCTGCATGTACTTAATAACAACACACACTGCGACACACTTCAAGATCAGAAACACAGATTCTCCTGAAACAGATGTTAACATCCAAATTCCACACATTCCTCTGTACTTATAGGTCAGTAAACACAGCACACACACACACACACACACACACACACGTTTGTACTTGTGAGAACCCTCCGTAACACGATGCGTTCCCTGCCTCAACTTTAATCATCATAACTACATGTCTGACCCTGAACCTGACGTTAACCTGATTCTGACACAGTCGGCAGCTTTTCAAAAAATATTCACATTTTTTAAAAACGTCTTTGCCCCTAAAACTCAAATTGTTCCACACAAAGATGTTCAACAGCACGCACACACACACACACACACACACACACACACACAATAGATACATCTGTCGCCTCCAGCTGACATCTGCTGCACCACAAACCTGCTGTTAGCAGACAGCTGACGGAGCAAAGTGCACACCAACACACACACACACACACACACACACACTGCAGTGGTGTGTTCATGTCCGACCCTGTAAAAAGATTCCTCCTCCTCGTTTTGAAGCTGTCTCTCTCCTCGTCCTCCTCCACTCTCACTTTCCATAAATCTTGTCCTCCTCATTATTCTCTCTGTCTTCTTCCTTCATCACACTCTTTTCTTTGTTTTTTATTCTCTCTCTTAACTTTGTCAAGTTTCTTTCCTGAGCTGGTCGCTCACTGTAAACCTAAACATGCCATTGATCCTTCACCTCCAACATATATGATATTAACATGTATGAAAAATGGCTCATGTGTTTTCTCTCAACTATTTAATTTTATATTTTGTGTCTTATTTTGCTGCTGCACCGACACAATTTGACCCCAGGATTATAAAGATGTATTTTCTCTTAATGTGAAGTCATTAACTGCAGAGTTTACTGGAACAAGTTGAGATTTGTTTTGTTTTAGTCCTGTTGTTTTTCAGAAATGTTAGTTTGAGTTTTATTGACGATAGATTTTTTCTTTTTCATGTGTAAGACAAAAAGTCATCGACTTTTGTGCACAACAAACAGAGCTGAGGAGTATTGACATGAATATTCACAGTTAGAGACTGTTCTTTATTTATTAGAGGAGGGAGGTGGCCGAGGTTTCTTTAAATTTTGACCCTCCCTGAAGCTACAAATATTTTTCTTTGAGCCTCCCTGAGTGACTGGTGCAAAAAGCATGACCTTCCCTCCACCATAAATTACTTATTAGATTCTTAAAATGTACCTTTTGATGTTTGGAAGTCAAAAGTTAAAAGTTCCTGAATCCTGAAGTAAAAAAAGCTTCGGTTCTTCTCTCTTGTCGTGCACATGGGAGACACAGAATGCTTTCAATGAAATATCACTATTTTAGGCTAAGATTTGTTTTGTCTGACGGAAGTGTTCTTAAGTCTCTACCCTGTGCTGAAACAATTATTCAACATGCCTCGTGCTTTTTGCACCACCCCTCTCCCTCATTAATAACAAACAGTCCCTGTATGGTTTAGTAACAAGACTCAAGCTTAAAACACACCAGCACTGCAGCGGCATATCATTTGACATACGCCAAGTGCTGCCTCCAGCACACACTGGATGTGTCACGCTGCAGCCCGTCAACAGACACCCACGCAAAGTTGTTACTACTTTTACTGACAGATCTGAACTTCCTCCTCCTCTGCGTTAGCTTAAAATCATGTGTGGACAGCCACTAGTTAAAGTTGATGTCTCACCTGAAGAGCCGATCTCCAGAGCTGTGACTCAGCAGGAAGTATCTTTTTGTCCATTGTCTTTATAATGACGGGATTGTGGGTCGTTTAGCTCGAGATATTTGTTGAGTCGAGCTGCCAGAGGAGCAGAAAAAGAGCTGCTACAGGAGCTGGTGTGTAGCTACAAGCAGAGAGTGAGTGGAGGGGAAACGCATTTTATTTTGGGGATGCTGAAGCTGGAAATAGGACAGTGGCGTGAAGTGCCCCGAAGCAGCGTATCCAGGAGCACCAATGCACGTCTTGCTGCCGCTGGTGTGGGCTTGTACATTAAAGATAATGGGGGCGTATTTTTTGTTACATGGCTTTCCTTGACAGTGTGTTTCAAGCTAGCATGTTCTAAGTGACAATGCTAACATGCTAACATGCTAACATCAGGCCCCCTGGGAGCGCACCCGGCTTCAATGAAGCGGCCGCCGCAGTATGTTTCACCCAGAGGTATGAAAATTCATAGGCATATGTAACATCCTAAGACTTATAAAAAAGCCTCTTGGAGCCATGCCCTAAACCCAACAGGAAGTCAGCCATTTTGAATTTACTTTATGTTGTTTGGACCATTTTCTTCCATGTCCAGGTGTTGTATTTTAACGAACTCCTCCTACAGATTTTACCGGATCAACTTCAAACTCAGGATGCAGCATCTACAGATGTCTGTTATGCTAAATCGCAAAGCTTTTTAGTTTTCATCAAATGGCGTGGCCGTGGTGGCGCCACAAAGACATGAAGGCTGGGAGGTGAGCTTACCTTCCTGCTACTGCCAACGTCCGCTGGCACTGAAACAATAAAGACGCCACTGTGACCGGACAGGTTGTCTTTCAAATATCCAATTTAAATGCTGCAGCGACCACAGCTGGACTGACTGCAGTGTTTTAGACCGGACTGGAGTGTGAGGTCACAAAAAATGGACTGTGTGTTAACATCTGCAGAGAGGTCTGCACAGATGACGACTTTAAAACAGACGCTCACTAATGCAGAAACTATGAACTGGCCATAAGTTTGTGGATGTTTCTTCATAAAATAGCAAAAATATTGGACAAATTGTGACCTGATGATGGCGCTAAATTAAAAAGTCAGAGGATCAGCAAAGGTTTTACGTTTGTCCTGAGGGGGACAACTGAGCCTTATTTCATGGCAGTCCATCCAATAGCTGTTAAGATATTTTTAGTGTGGACCAAAGTGACGGACGCTGCATCCTTTGCAGCATGTTTTTATATTTCAAAAGTAAAGAAGATCTGTCTGAGCTTCACAATTTGTATTTTAGCTTTACTGCAGCTGCTCCTCTCGTCTTGTGTTTGTGAACGATGAAACGTTAAATACAAAGTAAAGTTCACTGTATCAGCACTAAAGTTTCCTCTCTGATTTTACGTTTGGACTCAGAGGTGATGAACCAGCTGCAGAGGAAACAAACCATCACACAGCAGAGTGTGTTTAAACCTAAATTACAGCTGCTGACAGCTCTGATCACACACATACCTGAGGAGCTGCTCACCTGACCTGTGTGTGTGTGTGTGTGTGTGTGTGTGTGTGTGTGTGTGTGCAGCTTCTTTGTTCCTTCTGTTTTTTTAAGGGCAAAGTTTCATTGTGTAACCCCTCGACCCACACACACACACACACACACACACACACACACACACACACACACACACACACACACAGAGCCTCCTTCCTCAGAGGTCAGAGGTCGACATCAGTCTCTCCTGAGTGAGTACCTGTGATGGATTTACACTGGTCTTTGGGGAAAGTGGAAAATTGGAAATGTCACCGCTGGAAAAATGAGTTGACCCGAACCTGTGAGTCACGAGTTCACCTGAGAGCACTTTGGTGTCTTCAGCCATCGTCTCTGTTTTTATCTCTGCGTTTAACCTTCAGCCCATATTTACAGCCTCCTGCTGTCTGCAGCTGAGCTGATGTCATATAACCTGATATTATCAAAGTGACTGTTTCAACACTTATATTAATGCTCATGTTTGTTACTGTGAATATTAACACACGTGTTTTTACAGTGTTTTAAGAAAAAAGAACTTACTGAGTTTACCTTGGCCAGAGGAGACGAGGAGACAGGAGGGGAGGAGAGGAGCAATGGCAGCAGCAGAACAGAGATGGTCAACATCTGGAGAGGAGAGGAGAGGAGAGGAGACAAAAGGAAAGGAAAGGAAAGGAAAGGAAAGGAAAGGAAAAGAAAGAGGAGAGCAAAGCAAAGGGGAGAGGTAAGGAGACAAGAGGAGACAAAGGGAAAGAAAGGAAAGGAAAGAGGAGAGCAAAGCAAAGGGGAGAGGTAAGGAGACAAGAGGAGACAAAGGGAAAGAAAGGAAA